CTAACCTGCAATTGACTCTTTTTAGAATCTATCTAATTAACCGGGATATAATATTCTTTATATTGACTATTAATAATGAAACTATGCATCATAGGATTGTTTTTATATAATTCAATCCATTTAGTATGCCATTGATCAAATTGTTCTCAAGTCTGAGGATTTTTCACTTTATATCTTGTTAAACCTAGAAGTTTTTCATTATCTGGGGTACTATTATTTGGTAAACTGTTCCAAGCAAGTTGTGCATTTGATGGTTCTTTTTCTCTAAAATTTCTCCAAAGTCTTTATATAACTCTTGCATATCCAAACTCAGTTCATGATCTTGAGCATCCATAACCGGTTTGTAGTCTTAAGCATTCATAATCATAATGATCTTTCATTAAATCAAATTGACGTGCTTTTGAACCTAAATTAATATTAACATGTATAAGTTTCATACAACAAAAACATATTGCAGTACTATCTTCATATAGTTTATCTCTGCTGTAATTATATTTATCAAAATTCACATCTTGAATGTGTGAAGCATGAAGGCAATACTAATGAAATGTAGAATGTGAACCTTCTGGACCTTTTAACTTTTGAAGAGTAATTCTAACATGACAACCCCACTGAATAGGCATTTCTCCTTCAAAGATCATACTAATGAAATCATAAGGCCTCTCAGCATCGATAACTCTATTAAGAATGTTATATTTACCAGTTTTTGCAATCCTTTCATTTATATCGTGTTCTGCTCTCGACATATTTAATGATTATATAAAATTTAAGTATATTTAGAGGTATTTTGACCTATCAGATTTGGTATAATATATATGATTAAAACCAGATTAATTTTTAAAATGAATTGGGTTATTAGATGAGTTGTGTATATTTGTCATATTTTGTGAGTAATATATAAATGAGAATGGAAGAGATACATATTGGGCTGTAGTGAGAATTGTAAACTTATATTAGCAGAATTATGTAAAAACTACACATTTGGAGAAGATAAGAATTTATTTATTTAATTTTTAAATGTACATTATATATTTATATGTAATACAATAAAAATATATTACATTTCTACCAATTACTTATAAATCTGGAAGTGGATCTTCTGCCCTCAACCCATA